AAATCCCATGTACATTACTTATTTACACCTGCACATTTACTTTTTATTTTTATTTTTCCGCTCTTTTTTTTTTGGCGTTGGTCTCTGAAGTGATAGTAAGTTCCTCGCGAATATTCATCGACCGGACGCAAGAAGAAAACGGAGAAAGAAAACAACAACAACAACAACAGCAAAAAGCAGAAAAAGAATGACACAAGAGACAACCTGCGCCATTTTATGGCTTTTCCCCCTTTTCACTGGACATCTTTTTCAGCTCTTCAAGCGTGGCACGAAGCTCCACTGCAGCAGGGTGCTTCTCAGAGACAATCCCCTCAATAATACTACGCGCCTCTTCTGCCAATGTCTTGGCCTCTTCCACTTTTCCAATGCGTAGATAACCCCACGCACATTTGTTAGCGGCGTTACCAATAGCGAGATGCCTCCCTCGGTAGCGTTTTCGTGCGATATCAAGAGCTTCACAGTAAGATGCAGCCTGGTTCTTTCTGTCATCCAATTCCCCATACGCATCACCCAGCGCCGTGTAGGTTGAAACAAGGTGCGTATGTTGGCTACCAAAAGCACGCTTTTGCACCTCAATGGCTTTCTCTAGAAGTAGTTTTTGATGGAAATGATCTCCGTTCGCCCCATGGGCGACTGCTAATTCCATAAGCGTTAAAGCTATCTGCGGGTTCATTGCCCCAAGCTTCCGTTCTTGGACTTCATACGCCTGCTGAGCAAGTTGTAAGCGCTTAGCATGATTACCATTTGCCCCATGTGCTCTGGAAAGCGTTAACATGGCAATGGTGGTCTGTATGTGCTCTGCTCCACAGTGACGACGCACAATCTCGAAGGCCCTCTCAGCGACTTGAAGCTGGGCCTCACATTTTCCCAGGTGGCCATGTGCTTCCGCAAGAAGCAATAGAACACGCCCCACTTTCGCATGTTTTGGGTTGAACTTCCGCTCATAAATAGCGGCTGATTTAAGAAGAAGGTCCTCCATCTCGGTGTAACGGCCCATCTCCTCGTACGCAGAAGCCATGTTGTAGAGAACCAAACCGTACTGTGGGTGGTCAGTTCCATATATCTCTTTCACCATGTCGTGTGAACGTTCAAGCAGCTCAAGCTTTTTGGCATGGTGTCCAATCTCCCCATAGGCACAGGCCATGTTATTCAAGCAGCTCATTAACACATTGTTACTATTACTGCTGCCAGCATCAACCTTTCCCAGGGACTCCATCACAGCCTCCCACTGCTTGATCGCATTAATGAAGTCCCCACGTTCAAAAAATTCGGCCGCGGACTTGTGGAGGTCCTCCAGATTACCTCTAGCTAAGGGTGGCTGTTGTGTGCCACACAGACGAATTGCAAAGGCAGCAGAAAACGCCGCCGAGCGGTACGCGGTGCGGCCCACCAACCCGTCTAAGGGAGCCGCCAATAACGCGTATTTACAGCACGTTACAATTCTTCTCATTGCAGCATATCCTTTTTCTATCGTTCAATCTAAAACCCTCCAAAAAAAAAGATATCAAGCGTGAACCCCCTCGTAAGTAGAGCATTGCCGAATTAATTTACGCACAAAGAGAAACCTGTCATCCGTTTTGCGGCCCTAAGTACAGAAAGTTTTCTTGCAACTTCTGAGTGGGTTAAACTTTTTTTTTTAATTTTCGGCCTCACATGTCACCGACGGTGCTGCGTGCAGATGGGAAGGCAAAAGCAACAATTTACATCACAAGGCCGGCTCCCGCCACCCGCGCTCCTCGCTTACTCGTAACCTCCCCCCTCTCGGTTCAGTTGCCACCTCACTCATTGAGAAGGGCGGCAGGTGCCTCTTCTTCCACCACCACCACTACCTCCTCGACCAATTCTTTTTCTTCATCCTCCTCCACCTTTTCCTCTTCCCCTTCCTCTTCCTCCTCCTTTTCACCATCTTCTTCCTCCTCCTCTTCCTCTTCCTCTTCCTCCTCCTTTTCACCATCTTCTTCCTCTTCCTCTTCCTCTTCCTCTTCCTCCATCTCAGCCAGGCCTTGGTAGTTCCTTTCACATGCCATATGCAGCCGACGCAGCAACGACCCCACACCTTGCGTGCCTCCCACGTAGCAATCCACGATGGTGCGTCTCCGAAGGACAAGTTTGAGAAGCGCTTGCAGGCCAACGGAGCCAAACGGGTTCCCTGAAACGTCTATGGTCCTGATGAGTGGGAGATTTTGCAACGACTCACACAACATTTCTATGAGGGTGGTGGTGAGGCGCTCCTCGCGAAGGTTGATGTGCTTGAGCCACGGACACAAGGGCAATGTGAGGAGAATAGGCAGAATTGCGCGCTGACTGAGGTAGGCGCGGTGCAGGTCCAGACTACTGCCACATGCGCCTTGACTAAAGCGCAGAAATGTGGGGTTTGGATGCTCCCCACTGGCCTCGCACAAATACATGTACTTTCGTGCAGGGTTGGTTTTTACACCATCCTCTGCACAGGCCAGCGCCATGCGCAGGGAGTCGCAGCGTCGACTGAGCTCCACAATGTCATCGTTTGGCGTCAGCGGCATAACACCAACCACACAGCCCCTCACGGAATGTACTGAGAAAAGCAAAAATAAATAAATAAATGAACCGCCTTTCGTCAAAACAAAAAGAAAAAAAGAAAAAACCACGCAAATAGACAAGACAAACCACATTAGCAGCTTAAACGCACACGCATCAGAAAAGCACCAACAGCCAAGCAGCTATACCCACACAATCAGCAAATCCCCACAGATGAAAGGAATACAGTCAAAAACAAAAACAAAACAAAGTGCCCCTACATATACCTATACCTCTTTCATTGCGGTCAACGTCCATTTCATCTCCCCGTTTCCTTTCTTTTCCATTTATCCACTATCCCCCTGGCATAAAATAATAGGGAAAAATATCCTTTTTTTTTTCTCTCCCTCTTCAGTCTGGAGATTCTTCTTCAGATGGGGTTCCCACTTTGTTCCTCCCCCCTCCCCTTGTCTTGTTTTCTCGATGTGTTTTCTCATTATAAGTAATAGGGCTAGGGAAGTGCCAACTACGGTGCCCAACTCCGCATGGCCGGTACAGCGGTGAAGGAGGAGAGGGCGGGGGGAGCTCAACGACGCACCACAGGGCAAACAACCTTTTCGTCAACGCGTGCCACTTCCAAAGCAGTCACTTGTCCAGGGGCAGGCAGAACCTCGCCGTGAGTGATCGGGCGGCAAATTAGCCCGCCAACCGAGGTACCAGATCGGCGCTCGAGTGTCTCCCCATAGAAGATGAAAATATTGTCCTTCCCGTACCACTCTTCAAGGAGTTTGAGGTTGCGGTTACGAAGAGCGCTGAGGGCAAGGTTAGAAATACACAGCACCTGACGCTCACCCTCCTCCGTGCGAAGCAAAAGCTCACAGGCGTTACCGGCAAAGGCACGAATCTCCTCTGCGTTGAGGTTGATAATCTTACTGTACGTTGCCTCCAGGTGCTCGTAGAACGCATTCTTTTTCTCCTCAGAGGGGAAACGCAGGAATTCAAGGCCCCAAGCACAGATTCCCTTTCCGCACCAGCCAATAAGGTTGGTGTGATGGACAACGTCCTCACCAGCCCCATGTCCATTTTCAGCAAGCCGTGGAACCACTGCAGTAAAGATGAACCGCTTCCTCTCAGGAATGTTCAAGTTTTCAGGGCTGCATACAACATCAAGAACCTCTTCGTTGCTGCGCGGAGAAAGCGCCATATATACGAACTCGCCGTTGTAGGAAAAGTTCATTGCGCCCATTCCCTCCAGAACTTTGCCGTCATTTTCAAAGTGACGCAGATCAAGAAGTTCCAAGCCCGACGGTTCCTCCGCCTTGATTGTTTTGTCCAGCTTTCTCAAGAGCTGGACCTTCGGCAATTCACCACGGCGCTTCTTTGACATTGGATAGAGAATAATGAGACGGCGCTTGATCGTGCCTTCCGCATCCGTAACATGATGAACAGAGAGCGAGTCATTAACAAACAAGGCCTCGAAGTGAGTTTCGTAGGCACAGCGTGTGGACCGCGGCTCCCCAGTAATGCTGAGGTAAATCACCTTGGCCTTGGCATCCTTTACGAGACGCTCCTCAATGTTCCTTTGAAGGGCGGCCACCATGCAATTGTCCTGCTGTCCCTGACTCTCACTCACCTGAGGCACAGCAATGAAGTGGTTGTCAGGGGAGACGATCTTGGAGCCGAAGTAGAGGTCCTGAAGCAGCAAGAAGGTTGCCATCTTTGCGGATACAGGAAGATTGAATAAGTATTAATGGTTTTGTCGTCTTGGTGAAAAAACTTAGATTAACTGGGAGTATGCAATAAGAGGAAGAAAAAAAAAAGATCAGTGACCTGAAATAAGGGGGAAGGGAAGCAGGGAAAAAGCTCCAGCTCACTGAGTGGAATCACTCGTCCCAAGTTTGCCGCGCAGGCCTCTGAAATAATTCTCAACACCAGCCGCCTTATTGACTACACTCCGCTTTCATTTGTCCTCCTTCCACAGAGAAACCGCGCAGACATGAAAATGACGCAGGGAGCAAAATAGCACTCCTACAAGGATGAGTAAGACACCACTCTCCCACCCACACCCTGGGGGGGGGGGGGGGCACTGTGCCACCTATTACACGCACACCATACACGCAAGAAATGACGCTATCCTGTTCCACTTCCTCATGTTTATATCTTTTTTTTTTTTGCTTTGCCTGCATTTCCCTCAGAGCGCGTACTAGAAATCAATTCGCCCAGAATTCTCGCGTGATAGATGTCAGATGCTCCTGCTGTTCACTTGACAACCCCAATGCGTCCTCGGTGTGACGGATTTCCTTGAAGAATGGTGGGACAAACGGTGTCGCACTGCGATCTGCGCCCCAGGCAGAAAACACAATCTTGCAAGCCGTCAGCAGTGTCTCGGCTTGGGTCAACGACAGCTTCATCTCAGCATCTCCTGCAACCTGCTTCACATAGTACGCGAGTTCAAATAAAATCTGCGGCAGTTTTGGATCGCTAGCCCCGCGCTCAACAATCGTTTGGGCGAGAAGACCCACGGCGCTCACTGGGGGAGCCCCAGCAGGAACAAACGATTCACTTGCCGTCGGTCCAGGAGTCACACTGCAATCCACAACCTCCTCAGGAGGCCCAATGTCAACATCAGGGTAATTTTTCTGCGACCGCATACGTTCTTCCAACGTCGAGGTCGGTGTCATTCCAAGAATGCGCACGCGATAGGCCGCACGCCGCTCTTCTTTGTAAGCTTCAACAGATGTATTCTCCAAACGGGTTTTCCAGTGAGCTACTGCCTCCTCCACAATGTTGGGATCATAGCCAAATTGGCGTCGGAGTGCGGCGTACACAATTGGGTCCGGTGACGACAGTAGCGCCTCCTCCGCTGTGGGTTTTCTCCCCTTCTTATACTGAGGCTTTTCCCGCACACAGCTTGAGCAGCGTCGCTGGAAGTGGCGATTGATCGCACCGCATGATGGACACTTCCAGTCCCCCAGACGGCATTCAAGCGGCATTGTTCCCTCCTCCCCTGGAGGATGGTACAAACGGCAGGCTTCGCCCCAAAAACAACGGCCTTGCAGATAATCCATGCACGGCTGCCCGTAATCGTTCAGACCATCCTCATCTTCCATCGCCAGCTCCTCTTGCTTCCACTCTTGTTCTTCTTCCTTCTTACGTTGCAGTAGGTCGTTGGGGTGCTCTATGGCCCACAAACGATCTTTTTTTGCCAACCAGAGAGCATCCACGACGTGGCGTGGAAAAACACCCTCCCAGTGCTCCACGAGGCTCTCGTATTTCGGACCCAGCACAGGATCTTCGTACGGAATGTAGTCTCTTCCAATCTCAAGAATGTATTTGCTTGCAGTGTAGCCATACTTGTCACGGTCTTCCTTACACAGCTTATCCAGGATGTACCAGCACGCCAACTGCTTGTTTCCAGTCCATGACTTGATGTGGCGAAAAAGGACACCAACGACGAGCTCAAAGGCCATTTCATTGTCGCCCACTTCGCGGGCCAACTCGGCACTCTCTGACACCGTCTTCTTTCCTGGTTTCTCGGCCGCGCGGAGACGTGCACAAAACAGGGCAAACCGCCGCAGTGTGTCCCGGTCTATCGATGGAGGCTCGCGAAAATACTCCTCACCACCGCCAAACATCTTCCTTTTGCTGTTGTTGTTCTTAACGTCTCCTGGATTACGTTCTTGTTTCCCTCCTTTTTTCCTCTTTTACAAACTAACCAGAAGGACGGTGCAACACCCCGCTGGATGGCAAAATAAAAAAAATAACAGTAATAATTACACACACACACACACATACACAAAGGCAAGAATAAGGAAATAAAAGAGACACAATATATATATATATACGCCCGACAAAGTAAGAAAAACAAAAAGCAAGACAAAAACAGTGAGAGGGTGGGGAAAGAAGAAGAAGAAAAGAAAATGGACAGCAAACGACACGTATTCTGCTTCAGTGCAAAATGGGACGCAACATTTCCCGCCTTTCCTCTCGCAAGGCCTGAACGACAGCCCTCAGATGCTCTATCTCTCGCTGGTAATCGCCAATAGTAGAACCCACACATTCCTCGCGCAGCACCATGGCGTTGAGCTTTCGTTTGAGTCCTACAATCTCCTCGTCTCGATGCTGAACACGCAGAGATTCCTCACTAAGCCGTTGTTCTAGCGCGATCAGTCGATCGACAAGGCGTAGGCGATCAACCTGCATCGCCTCTACTGCCTGCTTGGCCTCCAAACAAAATTTATCCCTGGATTCATAAGTGGGGTCGTTGTTCGATGGTGGCGGTGTTGTCTGCGTTTCCTTGTCACAGAGGGAGGGCGGCTGCAGAGACGGAGACTCTGCCGCGTTCGGAGTTACCATCGGCAGTGAAAGACGGGATGCAACCGCAGGGGTGCCCACCAAGCGGATGGTGTGCGGCACGTTAACTGCGCCGTTCACGGAGAGCTTTGTACTGCATGTGAGACCCGGTGTGGCCTCTGTTGCCACCTTGAAGAGAGAGCAGCTCTCAAAAGGGGTTTGCTGTGATTCCCCTGCGTGTGTCTCAGAAGACATCTTCATGCGTGCCGGACCATTTTGTGTAGGTGGTTGGAAGCCCGTCATCACATTTGGGACGGCATCTATGATGTGTGCGCTCTCCCTCAAGCGAGTGCGTGCCTCTGCAACGCGCGTATGCAGAGCTTCACGCCAAGAACGCCATACCTCAGTTAAAATTCGTGTGCGGCGTTCCAACGCAAAGTGAGTAATGATCCGCTGTTGGTCCGTCCGCCATCGCCATCGTGTGAACAGCTGCGCCAGACGGAGCAACCTGGGAGCATACGACCGTCGAGCCTGCTCGCGCCAAAACTGAAAGAGTACACGCTTTCGCTCTCTCCGCGGGATCAGCTGCAGCGTACTACAGACAGCGTGTAGGGTTGGAGTTGAAAGGAGTAGTAAACCCTCGAGGCGGTTCTGAGTAAATTTTAAACAGAGCTTGTCTTGCCGCCTCCGCCACGCCTTGGTTTTCCACACACGCAGGACGCGCTGACGCACATGCCAGTTAAGCTTTTGCAACAGTTCTTGCTCCAGCAGAAATTCTTCCTTCGGTGCCGGGAATGGGACGGGCGCCGCCAGCGGCAGCTCCACCGATGCCCGATCGCTGCTGTACTCCTCCACCGTTGCAGGCTCCACCAACGCTTCTGTATGGCCCCCGTTGTGTGGTGCTTTGGGCAATCCCGGCCGCTTGCGACAGGAATCGCCCAATGCAGCGGAACCCGCCTCCTGCCGGTCATGGGCCGCAATGACGTCACTGGCGTGCATACCGTGTTGGGTAATGGGCGAGATGCTGCGCAGCGAGAAGGCGTCCGCCCCGTCACCTTTTGCTTCCACGCATGGGGTATGCAGATGGGTTCTAGTGGGGCTGAGTGGAACACGAACAAATTCCTCCCTTGTAGAATTCTCCCTCGTTAACTCTTTCACTTCCACCCGCGACGTCTCTCTTCTTGCGGTAAATGTGGGTAACTTCCCACCTCCCAAGAGATTTTTCCTTCGATTCTGGCATCGGTAGAATTCGCAGCTGTCAACCTTGGCGACCTGCGTGAACCAAAGCTTATTCAAGTGATCCACGTCCATCACGGTTAGCTCCTCACCCAACGTCCGGGCAATGCTGAGAAGAAGGCCACAAATACGGTGATCGAGTGAAGTCATGGCGCGACGAAAGACGTCCCTTGACCAATCCTTGCAGAAGGCTGTCAAGTCAGCTTGGTAGGGACTTTGAAGCGCCAGCATGTTGGAACTGGAACGCGAGTGCGCAAAGGAAGTGGCCACCCGCGAGAGTTCGTCCTCGGCAGAAGCATCAGCGTCAAAGGAATTCTCTGGGGTCATGGCACACATGCGACACTTCCCGCTCATGAGACGCCTCGCAAGGTGTGACGCAGCCCCAACGTCAATGAGAGCCAAGAGCTGTGCGGAACATCTGGTAACGATACTCTCCACCGTTAGATTAAGAAGGGTGTCTCGCAGCACGAAGCCCCGACGACGAAGTTCATTGTGTAACGCGATTCGTTTCTCTGCTTCTGCCAAGAGGGACAAAAATCGCATGCGGTGGACAAGTTCACCTAATGTAACCTTTTCGCGCTGAAGGCACTCCGCAGCGCGCTCCACCTCAGCCGGTAAAACAGACCGGGCGTCCAACTTTCTCAGTCGACATTTTTTTGTGCTTAGAGTGTCAGGCCAGGAACAGATGCGCAACATGTGGGCGCGATAGTGTGGGAGCGACGCCACTGGATTGAACTCGAGCGTAAGATACTGTAATGCAGGTAGCAAAGAAAGCGCCTCGCAGTCCTCAATGCGTTGTACTCTGTTCCCAAGCAAAGAAAGCCGCACCACGTTCTTGAACTGGACGAGGCCCAATGTGGTTGTCAAACGGTTACGGGAAAGAAGCACAGTGTGCAGGGAACTTGCCAGCGCCGTATTCATCCCCGCAGCGCTAAATTCCATTCCGTCGTCTTGTCCGACACTGCCGGCGTCGTGCAGCGGCAATTCCGCCACCGTTTTACGCACAACATCCGGAGAGACAGACGTGAGGAGCGCCAGAACCGTTGGATGAATATCCACCTCTATGATATTTTGTGACACGCAGTTCAGCCGCTGAAGGCTTGAATCAATCACATCAGGGCTCAGCTGGACACGCCTAGAAAGGCGCATCTGGGCCAAATCCTTGTCAGCGATAAAGCCTCCTCACACCGATGAGGCAACTATTTTTTTTTTTTTTTTGTAAGGATGAGAGAATAATAAAATAAAAGCACTTCACCAGCGTCACATGCAGAGAGTGTTGCACCGCATCCCCCCCCCCCCCACGTTCACTTAAGCTTGAAAGTGAATAATACGAGAAAGCGTGCACGTATATGCGCGTGAATGTGTGCAAGAGAGGCGTAAAATACGAGTCCTCACCGCATTACCCATAAAATGGTAACGGAACAGACGACATTTCAAGTACATTTTCTCACCAACACGTACACACATACTTCTTCTTCTGTTGCCGTTTTCTCCTCCTCCCAGTTACTTCCACTCACATGGCTGCTCCCACACACTCCCCCGTTATATGTTACAAGTGACAACGGCACAGCCAGAGTATGTGTCCATTTCACTGGATGCTCCTCAAATGTGTCTGTTCCCGGGTTTAGCCTCCGCCTTGGTTCCGCTCGTCTTCTAAAGCCACAGGGGCGGCGGCGCAAAGGACTCTACTCACACACACCACCACTACCACCATAGTTATTACATACAACAAACAGGCAAAATAAAAAAAAATGTGGGGCGCACCAGAAGAACACAGGGGAGAGGGGGAACCACTCAAAAAAAAAAAAGGAAAGTAACAAAAAAAAACACATGTACACACGCGGGCGAGGTGGGTGGTGAATCACACTCGCACGCGCTAAGGGATTTTTTGCCGTTTTCTCCACGTGAAGTGCTCGACGCAGCAGGATAAGAAATATATATATATATATAACGCTTTATTCGTCCTTTTATTCGTTACTTTTTCCCCTCTTTGTCTTCTCATCTCTACTTTCGGATGTTCTTTTTTTTTTCTTTCTTCTTTTTTTTGCACGCGGCAACTGATCAACCAAGAGGGCAGAAACGTCAACCCGGCTACCGCTAGCTTGGGCAGTCCCGTCATCGCACAACATATCACGGGAGGAGGATGGAAATCTACCCACCCACTCACGTCACCAGAACACCGTTTTTTTTTTTTTGTCCCGCACACCTCATCCCTGCGCCTAGCAGAGTGCACTGAGGGGAACATCCTCGTCGTCGCTTGCCTCCGCCTTTACCACCGGCTTCCCGCTGCGGTCCCGCTTCACCCCACCCTTTCCTTCACGCTTGGTGCCGCTGTTCTTGCTGTTGTTCATCTTCCTTGCAATGCTTGCAAGCACCTTGTCGTCGTCGGAGTCCGATTCCTCCGCTTTCTTCGCTCTGCTCCCACGCTTACTGGTGCCCGCCTTCTTTGCGCTCTTCGCCCCCTTCTTCGACTTTGCGGAGCCTTTCGCATTCTTCTTTACATTTTTCTTTCCCCCCTTGGAGCCGCTGCTCTTCTTCGCCGTCTTTTTCTTCCCATCAGACTTGGAGCCGTTCGATTTGGACTTTGAGGATTGCTTTCGCGGCACGCCTCGGTTCTTGACGATCTCATCATATTCCTTCTTCTGCTCCTCCGTTCCGTACGCCTCAAGCCATTTGTACTGCAGCTCATCCATCTCCGCAAAGAACTCCTTGGCGGCCTGCTCCAAGGACTTTTTGCTGGCCGTCTCTTGGGCACGTTTTAGGGCATCAATCATTGTGCGGGTGTAGGTCGACTTGGTTGTCAGTTGATGCATCACGTTGCGGTGGTTCTTCGAGACGGATTTTTGGTGGTTACAGAGAATCGCAACCTCCGTGTTGGCCTTGTTGAAGTATGCAAGTTTATCCGGCACAGAGGCTGAAGGTGCGACGGGTTTTTCCTTAAACCAGCGGTCTAGCGTGATCGAGGCATTGTAGGTACGGAACACCTTCGCACTCAGGCCACTCATAAATGACTTCAAGTGATCATTCAACGCGGTGGGTGTAATCATGTCAAATATGTCGGTGGACGGCTTCTTGCCCTTGATGAAGCGGCGCAGCAACTCGTAGACAGCAGGCAGAACCACAGCCTCATTCTCGTACCGGATGGAGTCTTTGCCAAGAAAGTCAAACTTTACTACGTTACCGGGTTTCAGCTCAATGTGCTCCACACGAAGCGAACAGCACCCCACGGTGTCGGCCTCGTCCGATCCCTTCTCGTTACCTACACGGAGCGCCAACTTGTCTATAAAGTACATGGCCACCGCACGTTGAGCTTTCAGCACGTCGTTCGAGGCGAAGTCCTCCGTGTAGGATCGACGGATGTCATCCACATACTTCTTAAGCTCCCGCGCCTTTTCAAACTTCATCATGTCCGACTGCCCCTTAATTGTTGAGGAAGGGGCAAGCATCACATACTTGAAACTGCCAAGGATGGAGTCACGCCACATCGCCAACCAAGTGACGTTATGCTCGTGTATAACCTCCTTCCAGTTACGTCCCTCAGGGGGTTTTGGAATGGGCGAGAATTCGTCTATATTTATGGTGATGTCCTCTGGTTGAACGCGTTTCTTTAATTTTCCCATCAGTGGATGTTGACCACGCCCGCGGAACAGCCCTGGAGGCTCCACGCGAAAATTCGCCACCTGTTCCTTCTTCCCATCCCACACACACCACCTGTACGGCTCCGCCTCCTTGTCCGCCTCGAGCCTCAGCTGCTTCTTTTCCTCCCTTGTGCGACTTAGCTTCTTCTCCCGCTCGCGCAGGTGCCATTGGTAGATGGGTTCAAAGTCACACAGTTCCAACCGGCGAATTGGATGCTGGCGTCTGTCAAGAATCTCTCGCCAGCTAGAGAAGAAGTTTCGACGGAAGATCTCGTTACGATAGTAATCGTGCTCCCGCATCACAGCGAACATCGTCGCAACTTCCTCCTCCTCCGGTTTCAACTTAAATTCTTTACCCTCGTAGTAGATAGGAATGCCGTGGGGCTTGTACTCTGGAGGAAACATGACACCGTTGTGGCACAACATGTCCCACCGCTTCTCTCCCTTTGACGTAAACTGGACGTTTTCCTGCTCCCACCAGTTAAGCTCCTCCTGGCTCTCACCGGAGTAGGAGCTGTCGTCTTCCTGCTTCACAGCCACATCCTCCTTCACTAATTTCTCTTCCTTTTTAGACATCACAGCTACTGCCTCCTTTGGTTTCAGCTTTTGTTTTTAATATATATATATATATATATGTACGTTGTGGTATTAGATTGGAGTTGTTTAACGTGTTTTATGCGGGCCGCGTTAATAAATCACACTCGGCGCACAAGCAGCAGACGTGCAGATGATGAGAAGCAGGAAGCAGAGAGGGGAAAGGAGAAGGAGAAAAAGAGGCCCTAGCGGAAATTCGTTAATACCACGAAGAAAGGCATCAATTCTGCGGCAGAAACCGACACACAAATACACACAACTCATGGAGACGAGCTCCATCATAAGCCAACAATACCATCTGCCTCTTTGGCCCAGCCTCCCTCTCTCCGTCTCTCTCTCTCTCTCTCTCTCTGGCGCGCACACACACGCACACACACACAGAAGCCTAGACACAAGCCCACATGTATGCAATAAATAGACAAACAGAAGAGATGGACAGCGAGGGTCGCTGCGTTTCCTCTCTTTCTTATCGGAGTAAAAGCAACTCTCATAAGAGACCGACCTAAAATAAGTGCTGGCGTGCTGCGAGGCCCAAGAAGATCAGAACACCGTGACGGCTCGTCACGCGCTTCTTCCCACCCCGTCAACCTTATTTCTCGCTTCGCGTTAGACAACTTCTTCTGGAAGAGGCTCTGCGCCATGAATCATACCGCAGTCACACCAACCCTGGTCAACAGGAATGGGGAAGAGGGTTAGATACACCCGCTTCAAAATTGTTTTAAGCCGTTCCACCTCGGTGGAGTAGTAGCCGGATTTTTTGTTATCTTCCAATTCAAGTTCAATGCAGTCTGTGATGGTCGCCGTTTGCCCATCCTCAAGCTCCAGGGTACAGACACCGGTTCCAAGGTTTGTGGTAACCGCGGGGTAAAACTGGGACATCATATGATGGAAGCACTTCAAACGGAAGAGGCGATCACTGCCAGAAACGTCAACAGGAAGGGGATCCATACTATCGGCGCCATGCTCAAGGTGCATAATTTTGGCCAAAGCAATGCATGTGACATCGGCAATAAGATCGTTGCGGTGGCTGGCTGTCCAGGTAATCGTCAATGTCGTTTGCGACCTGGCACTCTGCTCCACATCCACGCTCACGTTATCAGAGACCGTGATGCGAGTGGTGCTTGTGGTGTGATCGGCGTCATGTCCATTGCTTTCCTCCAACACGGCATCGTGCTGCTGTGGGGTGACCTCCTCGAACATTTGACTCTGAGCAAAGTAACGCCGCAAAACTTTTAGTACCTCAAGTGACGACTTGTACCGAGGCAGCGGTAAGACCATGGCTTGCTGAATCTGTGCCACGTTGAGGTCTGTAAAGAGTGGAATGTCGGTGGGGTGCACAATGCTGTATGAGTGTTGCCCGGAGACGAGTAACGCCCCACTAACGAAGTCGCCGGCTCGTGCCGGGAGAGTTGCCAACGTCCCCATCACTTTAGCTGTGCGTTGCACACTGAACGGAATGCGTATGGCCTCCTGATTTTTGGTAGCGTAGACCTTCATTCCACGCTCTGCAAAGTCCTGCTGAAGTTTATTCCTCAGCTGACCCATGGCGCCAACGTTGCCGTGAACAAGAATCACATGTTGCGTCTTGGGTAGGGCCTGAATAAAGTCACGCGTCTGTCTGCCATCTGAGTGAGCGGAGAAGGAGACAGACTGAATGGTGCGCATGCGAAGCGGAAGCACTTTCCCATCCGGCTTTGCGACTTCCTTCGGTTTTGCAAGAATATCCTTTGCGATGGTGCCGTCAACGCAATAGCCGGCAATAATGATGCCGTTCCGCCTATCGCCACACCACCGCTCAAAGAGCTCCAGCGAAATCCCAGACTGCAGCATGCCAGGTGAGGCCAAGACAACACATGGTCCTGTGTCTTCAAAGGAACGCGTGTCCACGAGGGAGCGAATATACTTAAAAACAAATGGATTACGATGATTCGCATGCTGCTGCTTCACACGGTCGTTCATGGCACTAACAAATGTCTGATATAATTTCATGCATCTTTGCGCCAACGAAGAGGCGTAGTAAATAGGGATATGCTGCAATTCCTTGTGCGCTTCCCAATATTCCTCGAGAATAAGCAGCAGCTCCTGCGCGCGACCCAACGCAAACACAGGCACCAAGCAGCGTCCTCCAGCCTTTACAACATCATGGACCCAGGTGGTAAAGAGTGTTTCGCGTTCCTCACGTGACTCCAGTTCACGTATACCGTTCGTGCTCTCCGCAATAAGAATATCGGGTGAGTAGGTTGGCACTTCAGCACCCAGCAGATGGCGATCCGGAACGCGAGAGAAGTCCCCGGTGTAGAGCGTTTTCATGCCGGCAATGTCAACCATAAAAAGCGCCGCTCCAAGGACGTGGCCCGCATTGAAGGGTTGAAAGCGAATGCCATTAACAGTGACCTCCTCATGATATTCCACCGTCTCAATTCTTTCAATGGTGCTTTGCAACCACTCGTTCGTCACGATATCGTTGGCACTTGCACCAACACGCAAAAAGTCATTCATCACCATCTTGTAGAAGGCCTTGGTTGCGCTTGTCATGAAGACACGTCCTTTAAAGGCTGTTTGCTCGCAGAAGTAGGGCAGCGCCCCACAGTGGTCGAGGTGGAAGTGGGTGATAAGCACCACGTCAATCTCGTCGCAGCGAATGCTGTCAAAAAAGGGAAGCGAATCCAGGCCGCTCTTCGCCGGGTGATTGCCACAGTCCAGCATCACGGAGCGTCCCTTGTAGCGGAGAATAACACAGGAACGACCAACTTCCCCCCCACTGCCAATTGGCAGGATTTCCACCTCATCCGAGGAGGCTGCGGCAGGGACATCCGAGCACCTAAAGGCGTTATCCAGCACTGAAACGGTCGATTTATTGTACGCGGCAGTAGACGCTGCGGCTGCGGGGAGCATGGTTGCGATTACTTACACTGAAACCTGAAGGAGATGAAGAGAAGCACAAATCACAGGTGCAACGAAACAAGCAAAGCACATCAAAAATAAGACGAAAAAGTTCAGGAGAATACATTTTCCTCCCTCTTCTTCTCATTGCCA